AACGAAAAAAATTTTGTTTATTGCTTGTAGTTTATATGAGCCAATCCCTTGTTACCAAACTGACCTTTCCAAGCCCCCTCCCCCCTTCTATATTTTTAATGTTCTAAGCTGGGGCAGGTTAAACAGGAACTAAGGTAGTTGAGACAGATTTTCACCATTATTGAAACAAAGAATTAAACTATTCAAAGCACGTAAATTGTGCTTGAGCCCTTTTGTTTGTGACAAAAGAGACCAACATGCAAGAGGAAAAAGAGGCTAATCCAGCTTGCTAAGACCAAGGGCTTCAGTTCAGCTGGGGCAGATGAATCCTATTTTCCCTTCTATCTCAAAATAAATATGGGCATAACTAATATATATTAATTAAAAAAAAGAAAAAAAATTAAGAATTAAAAATATGGGCAGAGAGGGCATCAGAAGCAATAACTTGGCTGCGTTTTCCTTGAGAAAATCAAAGTATATAGTAATATTTATTCCGACGCCCATATTATTATTTTATATATTAATTTGTCTTAAGCAAATCAAGTTGTTAGAAATTAATCATAATATCTTAAAAATATCTTTATTTATTAAAAAAATTAATAAAATTCTCTCCTGATTTGTTGAAATCCAAAACTCTAAAATATAAAGCTTTTTCCGAAACATATGGCGCGGGTAGATAGCCAATTAACGAAACAAGACAAAATGGAACTGTAGTTTTTCACTACCTTTTTTGTCAGTGAAAATATATGTCTATCAATATTTTCTAAGCAATAAATTTAATGTTTGGGAGTGAAATTATTTTATTAGTATAACGGCGTGTGCCGTGCACATGCCCTATTGCCTTGTTTTTGCATATCAAAGTAAAAAAAAAGTATAAAAATATTTATTATATACTTTTTATCAATTTGATATTTAATATTTTAATTTTTATTTCATCATCTATTTTTTTATCTAAGGTTAACACTGTCAATTAATTTACAACGTGTTATGAACATTTAATAAAATATTGAAACATGTTAAAAATTTTAGTTAGTATCACATCATCAATTATCGTATTTGCATTACAAAATTTTAAAATTTACAAAAACTACAAAAAAAATCTAAAACATTTAAAAGAATTTTAAAAATCTTAAATATTTAAAGTAAAAAATTAAAAAATTAAAATTTTAAAAAAATTCGAAAATGAAATCTTAAAAATTCAAAAAAAATCTCAAATTTAAAAAAAATCCCAAAAAATTCAAAAAAATTAAAATTTTAAAATTTTTCAAATTAATAAATCACAACAACTTTAAAATTTTGAAAATAAGAAAAATCTAAAATTTTTTGAAAAAATCTAAAAACTTTTACAAAATTGTAAAAAAAATTTTATAACTACGAAAATTTTTCATTTTTTTACATATTTTAGGAATTTTTTAGATTTTTAAACTTCAAGGAAATTTTTTTTAAAAGTTTGGAATGTTATCTTTTATATTTTTCATAATCTTTTTAATTTTTCAAAAAATTTAAGAAATTTTTATAAATTTTTAGATTTTTGAAAAAAAAATTATTTTTTTAATTTACAAAATTTTTCAAAAAATTTTAGATTTTTTATTTCAATTTTTTAAGTTTTTGAGAATCTTTTTTTTTAATTTTAAGAAATTTTCATTTTTTTTGAATTTGTTAAATTTTTTTTATTTTTTATTTAATTTTTTAGAATTTTTTAAATTTATTAAGTTTTATAATTTCTAAAAATATTTCATAATTTTTAATTTTTTTTATAATTTTTTAAAAATATTTTAGATTTTTTAAGAAAATTTTTAAATTTTTTTAAAATTTTCTATTAATACTAACATAGTAATTGATGATGTAATGTTAATTAAACTTTTTAATATATGTTTGCATTTTATTGATTGTTTATGCCACGTGAATGATTTTACTAATGGTGTTAATCTGAAATATTAAAGTAGATGGTGGAATGAAAATTAAAGTATCAAATTGATAATTTTATTTTTTTTAGATATTAAATTGATAGAAAATATATAGTATAGAATCTATTTTTATGTTTAAAAAAAAAAAACACTAACCTTTCGGTTCCCAAAATTTTATAGCACTCACCTCTCTCTTTTGGTTCTCTTGAAATCTTAAAAATAAGTCTATAATTATATGTTTTTGTTCTCTTTAAGTAAAATATTCTCTTTTAATGAATTGGTTGAAATTTTATAAGTTTATAATTGATGTGCAAGAATCTTAGAGGGTTTTTTTTTTTTTTATGTTTGCACACATCTTGTTGTTGTTTTTTTTTTTTTTTTATGGTTGAAAAATATGAAGTTATAATAAATCTTTTTTAAACTCACCTCACTCACAGGCATGTCAAAATTCCAACTACATTATATACATGTAAATGCCAAATATTGATTAAATTTTCTTGCAAAACCAGAAATTAACCATTAAAATTGCATATATATGCAATATTTTAGGCCTTATTATAACTCCATATATATTTTCTTAGTATCCACTCATGAAGTGCCATAGTTTTCCTATGCAAAATATATAATAATTAAGCAACCGGATTCACACAATATGTATTCATAAATCCAATTCTATGATCAAAAAAGTTTCTTGCCACCATATAATTAATCTGATCAAAGACTTTAATTATAAGTCATGCACCCCAATATTTAATTAAAGTAGATGTATGTATTTCTTATATATGTAAAAAGTTAAGTTCAAATTTCTCTCCCTTCTTAATTTTTTTTTTAATTCTTATAATGATCATCATGGAGGTAATTGTAATATCACATTGTATTTTATATAAAAAAAAATTGAATTTATAATATTAAATATATTAAAATAAAAATTTTTTTAATATATTTAAAAATTAAAGAGAAACTTAAAATGTGACAATGAGAATTATATCAAGTATGAAAGAAAAAAAAAACCCATAATATCACTATCAAAACTTTATCAATTAAGATGTTTGATAAAACTTGCACGTTTCTAACACCACATAGGGAAAAATAACCCCCAACCCCTACCCATCAAAACTAATATTGCAAGATTCACATTATTGATGCAAAGCAAAGCAAAACCCACATTTTTCTTCATTTTCTTTTTCTATTTTCCTTTGCTTATTTGGGGTGTTTTGTGTACTAGACTAGGCTATTGATTTTCCCTTTTGGCCTTTCTCTGATGGAACTTTGGCCTCAGCAATATTATATGGGTCAGTTATTAATTATATGCCAAGCTGCAACCAAATTTATAAAAGAAAAGTTGATGAAGTGATCAAAGTTCATGGTATCCAACTGACTTACTGTAGTTTTTGTTAACTAAAAAGCATTTGAAAGTGAAAGACTCTTAATTGCTATATGTATAATTTATTTATATGACTTGAGGCAGTAGCACATAAATCTTGGCCAGATATTATACTTTTATTGACATTTAAAAAAACGAAATAACAAATTCAATCCCACTTCGTACATTCAATTAATTTGAAAAAAAAATTTGTAAAAAAATTTAAAATATTTGACTCAATAAGTAATGCATTTATTTTAAAAATATTTAAAAAAATTTTTTCTTTGTATAGACTGAAGTTATGGAGTTGAGTTATAACCTTCCTTCAAGTGGGTACAAAAATCTGTATTATTCAGTAACCGAACTAATTAGTAAGTGATAGTATATAATTGATGAGAGGGGATCGAATTCCTGCTTTGCTTAAAATTGGCCTTTACATATGGCCCCTCAACACATGATATACATCCATATGTTGATAAAGCTTCACCCTGCAGGCAAATGCCCTGAGGAGCATCTCACATTCCCAATCCTAACCATATCCTTTTGTACACAAATATCTCCAATGATCCCTTTTGTGATTAATAATTGATAGCTATTCCCTAATAGTGTTAACATTTTGGCCTTTTTCTCATACATTTTTAATTAATGTTTGTTCTAGCAGCTGATCATGCTTGATGTTTCCAGTTTGAGGTAGACATATTCAGCCAGGGCCGACCTGAATCCAAATGATTTTGGTCTAAAGTTGGGTTTTTTCACAGGTGAACTGTGACAAAAGCAGTTCCACTACTTGAGGTGGGCAATGGGCAATGCTCCTTCATTCTTTGAAAGATTCAATGGAACATAATCTTCTCTCATCTACAAGCCCTTTCTTTTTATCACTCTCACATGATGGAAATATCATGTCGATTAAATTCTTTAAATTCAGAATATATGAATTTACATCTTACTTCAAGTGGATACTTTTAATCAAAGCATAAATCTGTGGCCGTCCTAATCTCAATTTTCTAATTAAAAGAATACTTGTCGAAAGTTCATTGGGGATCATAATAGAGATTCATGAATAAGAATTGGTCACACCAGATATCAGTTCTATAAGAGAACAGTAAGAACAAGGACTCGAGGAGTCTAGTTGGTGAGGAGCACTATCTTACCCAAAATGTAAGCTGTTCTATGATTTGGGCCCATCCATAACATGAGTGGACCAGGGCCTGCCTTGGGTACTTTCTTTTTCTAAACAGTAATACCAGTGGGAGTAGGACCTTGCTGCAAGTTTCAGGTGACAAAATTGACAAAAAAACATGTCATCATGTCAGTACTGCAGTAACAAGCATGAAGCCTTTGTATGTATCGTTTAGCCTGTCTCCCATTGGCTTATATTTGATCGACAATTTGATAGCTTGAAGCTTTTTGATGTTTCTGGACCATTGGACATGTCGGCTTGCTTAAGTTTTAACTAGCAAGAAACTCACCCAGAGAATGTAAAATTAAAAAAATAAATAAATAGGAAATAAGTTGTGGTTTTAAAGGGATAGCTTTAGTCCCTTAGCCATGGATACTAACTAGCTCTGTTTGGTTTGTCCTTTTCCTTCAAATTGAAGTGAACGAATCGCATTCAATCTGGGTACTTATGTTAAACAATTTGATTTCCTTGGTTGTGAAGTAAACCAACTGAAGCAGCCTGAAAAATACAATCCCTCCAGCTACAAATGTAGGCGTGAGAATTTAGATTTCTTTTTAACCTGCTCAATATGTGAAAAGTTGCGCAGATTCAATATTTTTCAATAGAGATAACCACACAGGAGATATTGATTCACTTGCCATGTTACTTAAAAATCAGAAGATTCCCATCATGGCCTTCTCATATATTTTCAGAATTAATTATGTGGCCACCCATTTTCATTGATGGTGATTACCAATATGAAAGAGACTCGGGAGAGAGAGAGAGAGAGAGACGATTACTTCAGCCCCCGGCAAACGCTTGGAGCCACAAGATGGCTAAGAAGCATATCCACCACTCAAATGGCCATTCTTTTCCAGTTGACAATATTGTTGAGTACCAGGCGGGAGGATGAAGCGCTTTCGTCAAAGAAGTATAAAAGCACATAAAAACGACAAAAATTAACAGAAGCACAGAAAATGGAACATTTGACATCAAATGGCAAAAATATCATTTGAACAAGATCCTATAGCAGACCACAGGAGTCTATAGCATATGTACAACATATCTACAAAACTAAGGAACAAATCTGTTACTACATAAATTAAAACAAAACCAAGAAAACAAAATGAAAACTTACACTCAATACCATGGGCATCGCAAACTAAGTTCTAAGGAAAATTACGTGGCAAATTATAGACAACCCACAACCTCCTGGGAAAGCTAGCCCTATTTCCCTACCTCCGGCACCCCCAACCACCTTGTAAGAAATGGGATTAAAAAGAAACAAAGAATAGAGTTCACAATGCTATTGCTTAAAGCTGGAGAACTAAAGAATGTATGAAAGAGAGCTCCAAAAGGACCAATTGAAGGAGAACAATTTACATAGAGTAGGATATCAAAAGATCAGAAAAGGAATTATGACAAAAGTTTTCAGTTTTCATGTCTTGCTCTTCCCGTTGGCACCTTCTCTCTGATTTCGGAAGTGACTGAGAAGCTGTTGTGCCTGCAACAGTAAAAATCCATATATCATGTACTTTCTCATGTGCATCCAGAAAATTTTCTTTAGATTAAACAGTAATCAAACATGCAATTAATAAGCAAACACCAATTTTAAGGTTTAATGAACTTTACAAGAAAACCTAATGCCTTTCCGACGTCCCTACTTTCCACAACATGTTTTGGAAGCATAACACATTTTTCTAACCTTTCTAATTAGTTACAATAAGAATCACTTTAGTGGTGAAATGACACGAAAATTAAGGAATATAATCATAATTTCGCTTATTTCATTGAGATCCCAGAGAAAGGAGAAGACAATGCAAGGACTGTGGCACCATAACTGAAGAAGAGGAAAAAATTAAAATGCGTACCTTTTCCTTTGCTCTTGGTGTGCCAGACTGACACAATGCGATAAGGGGTGGCACAGCCCCTTCTTGCAAAACCAGGGTACAGAACTTGGGACTATTAAGGCATAGTTGCAGCAATAAAAAGGCAGCGTTTTCCTTACCCCTCTGTGATCCTGATTCAACAACTTCAACTAGTACTGGAATACCACCTTCTCGTAAAATTGCCAAACGCCCTTCACCAATTGTAGACAGGTTTGAGAGAAGAGCAACTGCCTTGTCAACCATCCCACTATCAGGATCCATTAACTTGACAAGGTATTTTACCGCACCTGCTTGAACTATACGAGCCTTATTTTCATGAAAGATTGATAAGTTAAACAAAGCAGCAGCAGCATCTTTTTTTCCTCTCAATGTTCCAGAGCCCAGAAGATTCACCAAGGGTTTGACAGCACCAGAACGTCCAATGCTTGCCTTGTACTCTTCCAAGGCAGAAAGACTGAAAAAAGCTGCCGCAGAGTTTTCTTTGGCTCCATCATTTCCAGACTTTAAAACATGAATTAGTGGCTCTATTGCTCCTGATTTTGCAATCATAGCCTTATTATCTTCATTAATTGAGAGGTTTAAAAGGGTTGTAACAGCATGCTCTTGGGTTAGCTTTACCTCCGAGTACAATAGAGAAAGTAATGGTGCAACAGCACCACAGTGGCATATAATTATACGATTGTCCATGTTGTACTTTGCAAGAAGGCGCAATTCTGCAGCAGCTGTAGTTTGGATTTCATTTGATAGGCTTTTAAGGTTATCTACTAATTTCTTCACATGGGAACTTGTGGTCAAATCATCATACCCTGACCCAGAAAATGCAATGGAGTATGATCTGTTATAATTATGATTTCCATTGACCGTCTCTTCTACTTCTGTTCCAGAGACCTGCAACTGCTTTCCTGTTATCCAGGGAGAAAATCCGGATTCTTTTGTTGAAGGAAAAATGCCAAGGCCCTCAGATGAAATTTCAGCTAACTCATTCATTTCATGTTTCTTTGACCTCCTTGACAAGTAATTCAAAGCAGGAGGCACATGATCAATGCTGGAAATTTCACTCGAGGTTGATTCAGTGCTGCTGTGAATATATGACTGATCAGAGGATTGGTGGTCATACTTGTCAATCTTTCTGCTTTGGCATCTATTGCATTCTCCGCCAAATCTAGATGAGACGTCAATCTTCTGCTTCTCTAAACCATTTCCAACTTCTAGAGATGATCTTGACGTGGAACTACTACTGCTTGCAAAGCAGTGGAAACTATCAGCATGGGTTAAATCTTCAGAAGATATATGATTTGAAGAAGAAGAGATTGAGACAAGTTTTGCATGCCCAGTGTTATTCGAAAGGCGTAAGTTGTTTTCCTCACACCAACTTGCTACCATAGCTTTGACCGTGTAATTTGGAATGAGATTTGTATGCGTGAGCGTTTGACGGGTCTTTGGGCAGATGGTCAGTCCAATATCAAGCCACTTTTGGATGGAAGCCCTGTCATAAGTTTGCCCAGAAGCCACAATAACAGGATCCAGCATAAGTTCCAACGACAGGGGGCAAAGGAAGTATGGAGGTATCAAAATGCCACTTGTGGGTTCAAAGTGCTCAATTTTAAGCATACAATCACGTATTTGGGAGATGAGATCCACAATCTGATTGATTTCTAATTTCCCTTTTGCGTTGTTGACTTCCGCATTTATTCTCTCTTTTTCCACTGCCAAAGTTTCTTTTAGCAATTCCCTGTTTGACTTCAAGTTTAATAATTTGATAACTTTTATCAGATGATCAGTGCAAGGAATAGCATCATCTTTTTCACTTCTCAATGCCTCTCCTATATTTTCTGATAGTCTCTCCTGCTTCAGACATTCAATTTCCCGCATACAATGCTGAAACAGTTAACATCAATTAGTCTTGCTACTCAAAGCCAACTAGCACTGAGATAGTGATAGGAGTTGCCATCCAGCTGCCTAAACAATTTCTAAAAGGACAACAAAATTTGTAGAAAGAAAACGAATAGCATTTTTGTCATCCAAGCATAGAATGAAGAAACAAATTTGATTTTCTCATACCTCTACACTGGTTATACTTGAAGTGGACGGTGATGACTGCAACAATCTATACAATATGTGACATATCTCAAGTGAAGAGCTTTGCATTTTTATCAGAAAAGGCTCACACTGGAGAACCTGTACATGTTTTTAAAATATTAAAAGATAATTGAAATATGATAGTAGTAGAGGCCTGAAAATCCTATTTCTTTTACTCAGGAAGGAAAGTTATGCATAACACAACACAACATCCAATATTCAAGCTTCTTTCTCTTTTGGGTGATAAAATAGGGGAAGGCCTCCCCTTCCATTCCCCGCACCACCCAATCCCCCCATAATGGCATCATGATCTAAGGTCCTTAGTATAACATCAAAGAACTTTACCAATTAGGATAGCCGGCAAGTTCCTTATTCATTTTACTAAATACTACATTTGATTGCAGGAAAAGCATGAGGAAAGAAATGCACTTTCTTGCAATCTATAATAAACTGTATTAGCTATTTTATGAGACAAGTGTTCTTCTACAAACTATTATACTTTAATACCTAGTTGGCACCATCCTTGTTATCTTTAAATATGATGTGTTATATCTGCAAGAAATAGATTTTCTGGCAATCTATAACAAACTGGGTTACATTTGCAGTCATATCATTAAAGTTTTCTACTATAAACTATAATATTCTACAAATTAACCGAAACTTCACAGAATCTCATTCAGAAGGCAAATTTTTAGGTCCTTGTACTCATTGTGCTAGGCATTCAGGAGACAGGGCATCCATCCTATCAATGGTTTAATCAATACATATCTCAAATCGATGGTGGGTACTATTTGGCTCCTATGTCCTATCCAAAACAGCACCCAAATTGGACCAAATTGATGGAAACTGGTTTTTCAAACATGAATAATAGAAAAAAAAATCCTAACTAAAAATTAGAATATGCTCATAGAACACTGATGTTAGAACAGATAGCATTTGAAGCAATGCAACCAAAATAAGAACCAAAAAACAAAGACAAATCAACTGGAAAGGGAATCCTTATTTCCAGCACTACCCTTTTTTTTTCTTTCAGGTATCATTTTATCAAGGGAAAATGTATTCAGTAAAGATTAAAATTAAACTTACCCGGTGGGTTTTGCTCATCGTAGGACACCAGTTCTCCAAGAATTCTCGAGCCTCATTAACAAGCATGTCTAGCTCTTCACAGTCTTTAAATAGAACTTCATCTGACGGTATCTCGCAATCAACAACATCATCAAGCAGTGGTTTTAAAAGTTTTAACACAACAACAATTTTCCTGTATTCCTTTTCAATGGGAACACCTTTTATTGTCTGGCATGACACCAGATGAATGAATCGAGAGATACTGTTGATAAGACATCTCACGGAGGTTGTGGCCATCTGACCTGAATTTAATAGAGCATAATAAAAACTGCTCAGGTAAGATCTGTTCATAAGTACAACAGTGATTGCGTGAAAAAACTTAAGCTTGCAACTTTGTCGGTGTTGACTTTTTTCCATAATCTAAGGAAGCCCGGACATCTAGATGATGACCAAAAAGATAAAAGATCAGATTTTTACAATTTTTCATAGCAAGTGAAAGGCTTTTGATTGATGTCAATACCTGCGGAACACAGACAAACACATGCACTGCTGAAAATTATTTGTTCACCAATGCCATGGAGCTTGACCTTTTTTCCCCAGAAACACAAAATTTACAATTTTAAAAAAAATAGAAATAAAATATCAGATTTTAAAAAATTCAGTATAAACAAAAGGCTTTTGACTAATGCCTACGGAAGAACACACAAACATCATTTCAGAAAATATATTATTTTTTACGCATTACATGGCATTTTCTATATTGACTTTTTCCCAAATAGTCTAAGGAAACCTTAGATTAACTTTCCAACAAAAAATAATATTAAATAAAAGATCGGATCTCTCTCGATATCTCCAGAAATTAATACTGAATTTTTATATGAAAATGTTTTCATAGTTTGTTTGGTTGTGAAGAAGCTTGATAAAAGTGTAAAGTCTAAATGTCTAATACGCACCTCCATTGTTTCTTAAGAGAGTGAAAGAGACAGTACTGATAGAGAATTCTTAAACTTCAGTGACGAAAATCTTTCACCGTTCATTTAGTAGCTGAAGAAAGCTTGATAAGAGTTTGAAGTCCAACAACATCAAAAGCTAAGTTTAACAGAGCTACCATAACATCCAAAATTCCATTTACTGAACCAAGAAAAAAGAAAAAGGTTTTTCTTCAATCCACTAGAAACATAATTCAAAAACTACTCCACACTCATAAACTAACAAAACCTAAAAAGAAAATTCACATAAAAGCAGGAGTTTTTCCCAATTTCCAGTGCTTAAATCCAATTCAAAGCAAGACCACCACTTTATGTAATGAAAAAACCCACCAAAATATTAAACAAAAAAGACAAAAAAATATATTGAGAAATCAACATTTAAACATATAGAGGAAGCATGTTTTTAACATTGAAAGCATACCTCTGTCTTGAAGTGGGTTTAAGCTGGAGAAAAAAAGAAAGCACAGATTTTGATGGATATTTGAGTAATGTAAAACCCTCAATGAAAATAATCAAATATTGAACTTTAAGCATCAAACATAATAACTTCAGCTCTGCTTCTTTTTCCTCAGTCAAAGCTGCATGAGAGAGAGCTGCAAGAAACTAAAGAAACAAAACTTGAAAAAACAAAAAAAAAAAAAGAGGGGGGGGGGGTGGGGAAGACAGGGAAAGAAGGAAAAAGGCAAACTGGGTGGGGCCCTGTTTGGTTGAAGATTTGTTGGATTATGAGGAGAAAATTAAGAGTGGGGGAGACTTGGAATTAATTAAGCCTTGGGTTTTTATTTTTTACTTTCTTTTGTTATTTAATAGAATGAAATCCAACAGGATTTCAAAGACAAAGTACTAAGGTACTTCGATTGGTCTTCAGCTGTGTAATAACTTCAAATGAGTCATTTACCCTTGTTCTTTCCCACTTACCTCAATTGGCAACCTCTTCTTTTATTTTTCTAATTTTTGCCCCCTCTCTTTTAAATGTTTGCAATGTTTACCACCACTTGATCACTTATACATAGGCTAGGTGACTAATAAAATTAATGAAATAAGAAATTAAAATTTCAACTTTGGGGTGATGATAGCAATCTTATGTTTATATATTCAAATAATCGCTAATATTTAATAAAATGATTGCAAAAAAAGACAAATTATTTATCAATGAAGAAATTTGTTTATTAATAAAAGTAAAAAACAAAAAATCATTTATCATATGAAAGGATAAAATATGGGGGATATTGTGTCTGTATTTTATATGATCATTGTATGGATACTAATTTCATTTCTCAGGAAGAATATCTCTCAAAAGTTTGATATTCTAGTCCTAAAGAATATGGCATCTTATGCTAAGATATATGGTAGTTGATGAGACTCTTTTTTTCATGTATCCATTCAAAGAAATATCCATATTCTGTCATTTTCAACTCGATTTTTTTTTTTTTGGATTGAGAATAGCGGATATGAATGTAGTTGCAAGTCACAGGGAAAAAAATATGGTAAAAACCCTTGTCAGCAATTTCTGTTGCCTTTTGGATTCAATTGTTAAACTTTTTTATGTGACATTGTCTTTTTGGAACCAACAAAATGGAACAGATTTTGCTTATCAGTAACTCCATATTCTTTCAAATCAATGTAAACATTTGTGGTAATTACCTCTTTATCTACTAGTTTTTGACACTTTTATTTTTTAAAAAATTATTTTAATAAATAAATTGCTTATACAATAATAATTATTATAAATATTAATAATTTAATTTTGGTATAATATAAGTAAAATTTGATTTTTTATATAATTTTAATTTTAATAACTATTGATAAAATTTTGATAACATTTAATATAATTTTGGTAACGTTTAATATTAGTTTGGTAACTTATCATATAATTTTGGTAACCATTTATAATATTTTAGTAATTTCTTTATATAATTTTTGTAATTAACTTTCTAATAACTCGTTATATACTTTTAGTAATTATTTATAAAATTTATATCATCATTTATTTAACAATAGGTTCCCATATAAAAGCACGGGTTTAATTCTAACATAAGATAATTTTTTTTATATAATAACATTATTGTTTCATTCAAATTTAAAATTTTCTTACTAAATTTTTTTATTAAATAGGTTTGTGATAAGTTTATCCTAGTCTCCCAATATGAAATTTCTAACTTCATTTTTTCTAGTAATAAAGTTATCAATGATTAACTAATTTACTGTTAATTTATCGGTAATTTATTACAAAGTTATCAATGATTAATTAATTTATTACTAAATTATCATTAATTTACAACTAAATTATTAATAATTTACTACTAAACTATAAAAAATTTACATTTAAATTATCATTAATTTACTATTATACTATCATTGATTTACTATTTAGTTTTTTATTATTTACTAAAAAGTATCATGGATTTATTAATAAATTAATCAAGATTCATTATCAAGTTATCACAAATTTATATTAAATTATTCATAATTTACTATTGAGTTATTTAACTAGTAAGTTATCAATGATTAACTACTACTAAGTTATATTAATTTACTTTTAAGTTTTTATGATTAAGTATTAAATTATCATTATTACTACTAAATTATTTATAACTTATTACCAAATTTATCGATTAATTACTACTAAAATGAAACTAATTTACTATTAAATTATCACTAATTTACTATTAAGTTATCATTGATTTATTATTAAGTAATCAATTATTAACTATTAAGTTATCACTTATTTTTTATTAACGTATCGTTGATTTATTAATATGTTATTATTCATTAACAATTATGATACATGAAACTTAAAAAGTCCACTAATAATATCTGAAATAATTTTCTTTTTATACGATAATGTTATTATTTTATTCAAGTTTTAAATATTGTCACTAATTTTTTTATTAAATATTAATGATTTAATTTTGGTATAATATAAGTAAATTTTGAATTTTTTATATAATTTTAATTTTAATAACTATTGATAAAATTTTGGTAACATTGGATATAATTTTGGTAACGTTTAATATTAGTTTGGTAACTTATCATATAATTTTGGTAATCATTGATAAAATTTTAGTAATCTCTTTATATAATTTTTGTAATTAACTTTCTAATAACTTGTTATATACTTTTAGTAATTATTTATAAAATTTATGTCATCATTTATTTAACATTAGGTTCCCATATGAAAGCACGAGTTTAATTCTAAGATAAGATAATTTTTTTTATATAATAACATTATTGTTTCATTCAAATTTAGAATTTTCTTACTAAATTTTTTTATTAAATAGGTTTTGTGGTAGGTTTATCCTAGTCTCCCAATATGAAATTTCTAACTTCATTTTTACTAGTAACAAAGATTTAATTATTAACAACTTTAAGTATAAAAAAATATATCAATGATTGACAACTAAATTATTATTGATTTATTATTATATTATCAACGATTTAATACTAAGTTATTAATAATATACTCTAAATTATCAATGATTTTATTACTAAATTAACATTAATTTACTACTACTTTATAAATGATTTACTACTAAGTTATAAATGATTTACTATTAAATTATTGATGATTTACTCCTAAGTTGCTGATAATTTCTTATAAACTTATAACTAATTTACTGTTAATTTATCGATAATTTATTACAAAGTTATCAATGATTAACTAATTTACTACTAAATTATCATTACTTTACAACTAAATTATTAGTGATTTACTACTAAGCTATAAAAATTTTACATTTAAATTATCATTAATTTACTATTATACTATCATTGATTTACTATTTAATTTTTTATTATTTACTAAAAAGTATCATGGATTTATTAATAAATTAATCAAGTTCATTATCAAGTTATCACAAATTTATATTAAATTATTCATAATTTACTATTGAGTTATTTAACTAGTAAGTTATCAACGATTAACTACTACTAAGTTATATTAATTTACTTTTAAGTTTTTATGATTAAGTATTAAATTATCATTATTACTACTAAATTATTTATAACTTATTACCAAATTTATCGATTCATTGCTACTAATTTGAAACGAATTTACTATTAAATTATCACTAATTTACTATTAAGTTATCATTGATTTATTATTAAGTAATCAATTATTAACTACTAAGTTGTCACTTGTTTTTTATTAACGTATCGTTGATTTACTAATATGTTCTTATTCATTAACAATTATGATACATGAAACTTAAAAAGTCCACTAATAATATCTGAAATAATTTTCTTTTTATACGATAATGTTATTATTTTATTCAAGTTTTAAATATTGTCACTAATTTTTTTATTAAATAGGTTTATGGTAGGTTTATCATAATCATCAAAATGAAAGTTTTGATTTCACTTCTATTAGTAATCAGGGTTCAATCATTGACAACTTCAAGTATAAAAAGTTATTAATGATTGACAATTAAATTATTAGTTATTTACTACTAAGTTATCAATAATTTATTACTAAATTATCAATTATTTACTTTTAATTTATGAATAATTTATCATTAAGTTATGAACGATTTATCAGTAAATTATAAATAATTTCTATTAAATTATTGGTAATTCACCACTAAGCTATTGATGATTAATATAAAGTTATAATTAATTTACTACTAATTTGCCGATGATGATTTACTAGAAATTTATCAATGATTAACTAAATTATTATTAAATTATTATTGATTTACAACTAAATTATTAGTAATTTACTATTATGTTATTAGTGATTTACTGCTAAGTTATTAATTTACTACTAACTTATCAAATATTTACTATTATATTTTTATATATTTACTATTATGCTATTATTGATTTACTGCTTAATTTTGGATTATTTACTACAAAATTATCACTAATTTACCACTAAATTATTTTTTATTCATTACCAAGTTATGACAAATTTATATTAAATTATACATAATTTATTATTAAGT